CAGCACTGGGACCTCTGATCTCTCCTTACTTCCCCTCCCAGAAGGCAGATCAGCCTAAGGAAGGGAGTCACAGGCCTCCCTGAACTCTTTAGACGTGGCTCAGGGGCACAAGATTTTGAGAGCATATGGGAAGGGGACAGCTAAACTCATTCTATTGCCCAGGAAGCTCGATACTGCCAGGTCCCTGGTGCTTGTGGGGTAATCTGGGCCCACAGGGAGGACTCGCCTGATGCTGGCCATCTTAGCCAACTCTGTCAAATGGGCTCTCTTTCCCATATCCAAGTGGGTGAGATGCAGAAACCACAGCCATCTCTGCTTAGCACCTTGAAAACCACAGCCGGGTACTATCTGTGATTAAAAGTTGCCAAGAGAACATTGGGAACTGTAAGGACTGCGAGCCCAGCGATGGTATCAGGTATGTTGCCATGGTCCTGAGGACAAGAACAGTCTATACAGAGGAATCCACAGATAACCCAAGTCTCTGCCATGGCAATCAATCTCTCTCACTCCCTTGTTCTGTCTTTCCGTTCCTCTCCCCTCCCCCCGACAAAGTCTGCAGAAACTCAGGACAAACCACTCCCTCACCCATTTCTTTGTCCAAACCTGTTTTGAGGGTAGAAAAATGGTCCAATGAGATAGGCAGCTGGGAACCAAGAAAACACTGAGTGATTTTTAACCTCGGTGAACAAAAGGAGCAAAGACCCCAACTTTGTTGAAGGGAAAAGAAAACCAAAGTTCCTACAAAAAAGGTCCCAAGGCAATGGAAAAGAAAAACTACAACAGTTCTGAACAAATCAGTTGTCTACACAGGCAGTGTCATTGGACATAGTTCAAAGTGTTCGAGTTCCTGGATTCCCTTAGCTGATTTTCTTAATTATCAACTGTTATCCCCAACCTTCTTGCTAACCTCAAGGCACTTCCTCATTTATTTCACTGATCTACGTCCTTTAACAACAGTTTGAATGTTCCCCACTTTGCCTGGGGTGATAAAACACACGGACCAAGGAGGTTGAGAGGTAAGTTGGCTCTTCACACATGACAATTGCAAAACATAGATGGTAAACCCCAGCTTACAATCATGTATTCTCCTCCTGGCTCTGTCCACACCCATACCCCAACCCTGGCCAGAGAGATGGTGGCAGCAGAGTGACCGTGGCCCAACTCAGTTCACCCCACAGCAAGACCCGACCCAGTGCACACACACCCCAACACCTGTGCTCCACCAGCCTTGACATCGGCCACCAAAGATGGCACATTAGACTCACATAAAGGACCCATACTTATCTGACTGCCTATCTCCAAGACTTGAAAAACTGTCCTGCCCATGCCTAAGGGCTGAGAAAACACTCCCGCTTTATGGAGCAGAAGAGAGGAAAGAGCTATTCAGCTCACTGAGTCCATTTCCTCTTGCCCAGCCTTACCCTGTTCTTGCACCCTCCTCCCCCACAGTGCACGGAGCTGGGCCTACACAAGTACACTCGAAGTATTCAGTGAGCAATGAATACTTCAGACTCACCCGCCCCACCGACTTCGCCTTCCTCCAGCCCTGGAGGCCGTGGAGCTAGGGCCTACCTCGCCATACTGGGTGCAGTAGGTCTCAGGCCTGGTCAGTCCACAGGTTGACGAAGCTTGGAGAAACCGGGTCCTCCCAATGAGCAGGTCACCAGCAGGTGGATAGCAGGCCCCGCGGGAGCAGGGTTGCTGGGCGTACAGCAGGCTGGGCAAGGCTGAAATCACAGGGGTGCCGGGGTTCAGCCTGGAGAGACGAGGGGCTAGCCAGCCACCCCCGCATCCCTCAGGGAGGCGGCCATCGGCAAGATGAGACCCTCTCCTTCACGCCTGCTCCCACCCGCTGGTGGTGGTAATGACTACAATCCCGAGGCTGTGAGGTCAAAAAGCTGATTTCATATTCTGTAACTCCCAACAAAAAAAAAAAAAAGGAGGTGAAACACCAGCAGCCAAAAATCATGGACGCTCCTGAAACGTGGCATCCCTATGTGGTTTGAGAATCAAGCTCCCGACACGTGCTTGGCCACCAGGATGCGGTCCACAACCGTCCTCGGTGACAGCGGGGCCTCCGCCAACAGCTCAGAGGAGGGCTGGCTGCTGGCCATTTGTGAAACATTGGGAGAGACCTGCTGCTTTCTGCCCCTTTGTCTGCAAAGCTGACCCAACCACCCGTGTGAGCGCCCTGCTGCAATTCACTGGAAAATCGCGAACTCAAGCCACGATGACTCTGGAGACAGCTTGTGTGAGAGAGGATGGGAACTAAACTGTGCAGGGCACCTGGGGAACCACAACCCACTCTCAGGCAGGAATAAGAAGATACTTGGGGGCCTCGCAAGAGAGACAGAAAAGCATCTTCCCTAAAGGCCTAAGGGAGCAGCGAAACCTCATGGGTGTCCCCACTAGACAAGTGTTCCAAACCCGAGGGCTGGAGGGTGACAAGCTAATGCTCACACTTTGGCTAACTGTCCTCCTCCCCATCCCTCTCCGCTTCCTGCTCTATGACGGGGCCGGCAAAGGTGGGAGTGGATACCTACCAAAACACAGGAGAAGGAGTGGTGGCCTCATCTTCAGCCAATGGGGTGATCCCTGGACAGGCCTTCCCCTGGGACAGATCAAAGCAGCCTGTGTAAAACAGTGCAAACACCTGAGGCACACTAGCCCCTTTTCTATTCCTGGACTCATGTTTTTTCAGAAGACTGTACCTAGGGCACCTCTGACCAGCAGGTGCATTTGTAGCAAAAACCTTGGAAAATGCCAGAGCCCTGGACCCCTGGGCATGTGATTCACAGGATACCCTGGGAAAATGCCATCCCCTCCCAGACTTCAGCTTCCTCCTTTGAAATGGAAGGGAGGAGGCTCGGCCTGGCCCTGCCCGCAGAGTCATATGGACAACATGGGGAGCAGGAAACGGCTGGCCCTTTGCAGGAGAGGAGCCACAGAGAGGTCTGAGGCCTTGCTGCTGCTCAAGAAAGAGGCCTGGCCCTTCTCAGGGCCTGGCTCAGCCTCCAGGCCCAAAGGTGAGTGGGTCAAAGTGGCTGAGGGTCTGGAGGTGAGCCCTCTCCTGCCCTTGGCATGGTCTCCAATCCCACCAAGGGTAAGGCTGTGGTGGCCACAGCTTTAGGCTAAGCAGCTAGCTGGAATGTGATGAGGAGAGAGGCAGGCCTGGCAGTCTTTAAAAAGTGGCTGAAGGTTTTACCTGAACTGGAAGCAACCCACATGTCTCTAATTATGGGCTGAGGCCGTCAGGAGCGGTGGGGCTGGGAGGCCACCGAGCCAGGATTCTGAAGGAGGCTGGGGACGGATGCTCAAGGGTCCGAGAGGCAGGCAGGCCTGCCCTGCTCATGCCTTGAACTGGAGGCTTGCTTTGCTCCAGTGAGAGCCACCAAATCCTTTGGCTGGGTTGGGGGGCCATGGGATTGGCAATGCAGGGGCAGAGAAGGAACTGGGGCTCTCCTGGCATCTTTAAATTATACATCCTGATGCTTTGAAATCATTCCTTCCTGTCAGCTCCCAGAAGAGTCAAGGGCCCAGAGGAGACAGGTGGCCTGAGTTCAGACAGCTAATCACGCCCCAAGAGGGAAACGCATCTCCTGGCTCTCCTCCAGTGCTACTGCTGCTGCGCCCNGGGCTGGCAAGCCCAGAAGGGCAAAGGTGGGCAGGTGGAAGAGGGAAGGTGCACAAGGGACAGCTGGCCAAGGCCTATGTCCATGTCAGGACTGCAGTATGAACCCAAAACCCACAGAAGCAAGCCCTGGAGGCCAAAAGGATTTAGCCGCTGAGACAAAATTAGATGGAGGAGGTAACATGCCAACGGGCAGACTGGCCCACAAAGGAGCCACACTCTGAGATCGGGAGCTGGGAGAGACAATTTTGGAACTGGAAGGAGTCCCTACTGCTCTTGCAGTCCCCATGGCACTGAGTGCCCCCGGGTCGGGAGGGTAGTGAGCATTGCAGAAGTGTCCGAGGTCATAAATCCCCATGGCACTTGCATTCATGCCACCACAGCAGGCAGACAGCAGGTGCTGGCTGATTTGTACTGAGCTCAGGGCTCGCAATGTCCTCCCTGCATGGAAATAGAACAGAGGCACTAAACCAGGGGGTGGGGGTGGTAGAGGGAGTTGAGGGGGAGAGGGGGAAGTGGGGAGTCAGTAAGAATGCAGCTCTGCACCATGCCACCCTGGGACCGGCCAGTACAGCGCCGCACCCCAATCTCTAACTACTCAGAAAACTCAACACCTATGTGTTTCCATCAGAAGTTTCCAGTCCCAGCACACACTTAAACCCTCCCAATAGCTTATGGGGATAGCAAAAGCCACCTCATGGAGTATTTTGAAAACTAATTGAGATAATTCATATAAAACTCTTAGTCAGATGCCCGCCCGGGGCCCATAATATAATATGTGCTTAATAAATTATAGTTGCTAAAATATTTAACAATAAAATAAAAATAATAAACTTAAAAACTGAAACTGGAACTCAGCAGAGTTAAGTCTGGGTTCCTAATTCTCATCACCCAGCCACTGCCACACCCAGTGAGGGTTCAGGGTCTGTCTCTACAGGGGGATTATCTGTGCCTTTAAAGTGTGCGTTCATTATTGGCAACCAGTAGCCTCTAGGTTACGCAGGTAAGGAAGCGGGAAAGCAAATTCAGACAAGATAGGGAGGTGGAAGGTAGGGGGACAGAAGCTGGTTCTCAGAAGTCAGCTCATCCCCAAAGAAAGCTGAAGCAAAGAATGACCCTGAAGTTCCTTTCATCTAACACTCACTCACGAATAGGAAAGCAAGACTTAAAGAGGCGTAATATCTGGCCCAAGATCTCACCCCAAGTGAGTGGCAGACTTGGGGCTACACCCTGTACCCAAGATGCCCTATCCTCTACTCTTTCCAAGAGGTTCCATGGATTTACAGAAAAAGAAAAAGAAAAAGAAAAAGCCAATACTTCTCAACGTTCACTGCAGCGAAATAGCTGAGATGTATCCATCCCTTGGGTTGCAAAAGTCTAGACTTCTT